GGGGGGGGGGGGAAGAAAAAAATAAGTATAGTCAAACCTCTCTATAACAGTCTCGTTTGTTCCGAGATTCTTTGGCTGCTATAGTGAAGTGATGTTATAGAGGACATATATTATAGCGTAATATAATATTCGGTTCCGAAAAAACTCGATTTTATAGTGAATGACTACTATATAGGGATGTTGTTATAGAGAGGCCTGGTTGGGGTACCAAAATAGTAACATCAGTAGAATACAATAACTGAAACAAACTAAACAACATGATGTAATATAGATATGAGAAATAAGAAAGTACATGCGAGCTACTAGTACTACTGGTAAGAAAGGAGAAAACTCTCAGCTACCTAGTAACCGTCTACCCTAATCCTCGACCTTCGCACTCTCCTATCAAAGGTCATGTCCTCAGTGAGCTGAAGTCGCGTCATGTCCTGTATAATCACCTTTTCCCCAGTAGTTCTTAGGTTTGCCTCGACCTCTTCTCAAACCTGCCATGGTCAACCTCTCACACCTCCTAACAGGAATGTCAATGTTTCTCCTCTTAACATGCCCGAACTATCTCAGCCTCGACTCCTCCACTTTGTCCTCCACAGAGGCCACTCCCACTTTGTCCCGAATAATTTCATTCCTAATCTTATCCCTCCTGGTACATCCACACATCCATCTCAATAAGCTTATTTATACTACTTTCATCTTCTACACATGGGAGCTCTTGGCTGGCCAACATTCCGCCCCATACAGCAGGATCGGTCGAACCACCACTTTGTAAAATTTGCCCTTAAGTTTGGGTGGCACATTCTTATCACATAGAATACCAGATACAATCCTCCACTTTATCCATCCCACTCTAATATAGGGCGTAATATCCTCGTCGATCTCCCCATTATCCTATATAATAGATCCGAGATTGAAACTACTTCTCTTGGGGATGACTTGAGTATCTCGTTTTACATCCACGTCTTTTTCAGGGGTCCCGTCATTAAATTTGCACTCCAAGTACTATGTCTAGGTCTTGTTCAACTTGAAACCTTTAGACTCCAAGGTTTGTCTCCAAACATCCAACATCGTGTTAACCCCACCTCGTGTATCGTCTATCAGCATTATATCATCTACAAAACATGCACCATGGCACCTCCCCTTGGATGTGCCACGTTAGCACGTCCATCGCTGGGAAAATAGGAACGGGCTAAGAGCCGATCCCTGATGCAGTCCCATCATAACTAGAAAGTGTTCCAAGTCTCCACCCACAGTCCTCAGTCGAATCTTAGCACCATCGAACATATACTTAATTGATAGTTTATATGAGTCCACCAAACTATAGAGTACCTGGTCCTCTATGAGATGATGCGTAGAATGCAGTAAAGACTAAAAGTAAAGAAGGCAAGAGATTTTCTACGTGGAAAAATCCCACACAAGTGGATCAAAAAACCACGACCTACTCTTGTAGGCTTTTAACTCTACTAACTTGCAATCTCCCTATTATAAGCCACTTTGCAAAAACCCTATTGCAAAGACTTCAAACTAACTTGTGATGCAACCACCACAAGACACTTTATAACTATCCTAGTTACAAAGGATTTAAACTTATGACTATCCCTAGTCATAACATAAACTCAGAAGTTTACAAATTTTGGTTTGTTCCTAAGACAACGCTTCTAAGAAAGTAAACTAGGAATTACAATGACGAACAGATAACAAGATTACAACTCAACTACGGATGTACATAAACTCATTAAGAAATTGATCCTTTGTGGAGTTGTCTTTTTGTTCTTGATACACCAGTGACATCAATGCCAGATGAATACTTTTGTTTCTTGAGAGAATATCACTGAATGCACAAGAATAGTGTGTCTTGCACCAGGATGTTTTATCACAAAAGATAGCACAATGGATAGTGATGTCAACTCTTGGTGTACGCTTCTTCCCAATAAGAAGTGACTGTTGTACAGTCTGCACAGCCACTTCTGGGCAGTTGCGTTCCAGCTGGATAGTGGACTTTGTACTTCTGTCAGGACACACTAACGGACCAGGTCCTAGTTGTGTTCCTCTTCTGTGACAGTTGCTAGATGGTTACTTTCTTCTGCTACGTTCCAGCTGTGTACTTGGCTTGTACTTCTGTTAGAGAACCCTAAGGGAGCAGGTCCCTGTTGCATTTCTCTTTATATTGATTGCGTACAGTCACTGACTAGTACTTGTGTCGGAGAACCCTAAAGGACCAGGTCACCAGGTCCCTGTTGTGTTCCTCCCAGTGGTCGTTCATCCATTTGCTGATTTTCAGACTTCGACCAGTTCACATGAAATGTATATCCATGTGCTCGATCTGGTTATTTACAACAAGTTTGTTAGATCATCAAAACATAAGAGGCATAAGGCCAAGACATTGATAACCCATCAATTTCCCCCTCTTTGATGATGACAAACTTAGGCATGGACAGTATTTGTTTAGAGCAGAAATAACCAGATGAGATGCCAGAATTACACGAAGTTCCCCTTAATCTCAGATCTCCCTCCTTTGTGATTTTTCCTCACTTTTACACAAAGCATCATATTACCCCTCACATTTTCCCCATTTTGGCATCATTAGAAAGAACATGTAATAAGCATAAAGAAGTCTAACACAACTAGCTCATACCACATATGTGCACACAACATGACAAAAAAGAGAAGCCAGAGGAAATTAGTAATGTACAAGCAAAGAAAGGGGAGCTGTTTTATTAATGTTTACATTGGACTGAGCAAGTCAGGAGTAGTAATGGTTAAGTTCAACATGCCACACACAAAAAGCAAACAAAAGTAAAACAGTAGCCACAAGATTTTGGAGCAAAAATAGCTGGACACTAAGAGGATCCTAGGGGACACTAGAGGAAGGGGGCTTGGAGGAAGAGACAGCAATGGTTTTGAGAACCAAGTCCAGTCGAGCATTTGCACACAGTTGTTCTTCAAGCAATTGAGCCCGAAGTCTATCATTTCCTTTGTCAGTTGTGCAACTTCCTCATTGACAGAATCAGGTCCTTTAGCTGCTTGACTGAGCTGAGTTTCCAGTATGGCATTTCGAGCCCTCAGCCTTCTTATTTCCTCAGAAGCTATATTTTGAGCGTTGACAGCTGAGAAATGGTCGAGATGCTTCCACAACTCTTTCTATACATTCACATTCTTCTAGATTGGTCTTAGAGAAGGTCTGCTTGCATGTGCCCACTCTGGGATTCCCCAAGGGGACCTTATAAAATCTGAACACCTGAGTGAGGAAGAAGCCGTAAGGTAACCCATGATTTCCACCCTTAAAATTTGCCACCTTCTGCATATGATCTATCATGATTGCTGGCAAATTGATTGGGACAAACTCATCAAGCGTTTCCATTAGGACCATATCCGACTTTGTAGCAATAGAGCGCCTATCAGAGCGGGGTAAGAGCACTTTATTGACCCGTTCAAACAGAAGCTGGTACTCAGGAAGCAATACCTTCTTATGCACCTGTTCCCCCTATTGAATAGCTTGTTCTTTCATGATAGCTCTCCGAAAGTTTACTCCACAGACACCCTTAACTGAGGACGTACCTTCACACGGAATTCTGAGAACCTTTCCCAACGTTGAAGCGTCGAGTACAATGTCTACTCCATTTACCAGCGCACAAATGTGATCCCCCTCAACAGTGAAAAGAGATGCATAAAAAGTTTGTACTGCATCTTCGTACACCAGAGGCATGCTCCCTTCAAACAAGTGTTCCCATTGTTGAAATTCCACAATCTCCAGAATTTGTCTCATGGCTGCCATCTCCGAAATTGCTGGATCAAATGTACGACCCCACAACACTTTCTGAGTTCTTCATCTCTGCTGCCAAAAACCACCATCACAGGTCATGGACTTTATTGAACCAGGTTCCTTAACAGTTTCCATTTTTCGTTTGCTAGACCCTTCGGCAGACTTTCCTTTCCAGCTTGCCATCCCCACAGTATTGTCCCCAGACACGGCTAGCTCAGTTTGACTCTATTTAGACTTGCTGTTGTACTTCACGGATGACCCTTTCTGTTCCTCAACAGTTTCATCAAAGGCCTTTTCTATAGACTGTTGAGCTGTCATAG